TCTTCTCCCGAAACATAAACTTTGTTTTACTGTGATTGGACTTAAAGCAATTTGATTCTGATTTTGGTTACTGATGACATCACTAGAATTTCAGGAGGAACAGTTGGTATTTTGAACATTTACTGTTGTCAAAGTTTAGGTAGTTACAGTACCTGAACCGACTAAATCAAATGTGTGCTATACCTTGGACTTGAGTATATTGTGCCATTCAGATTTATTCAGTCATTGACAGTGAACCACTGGCACATTACTATCACAGACAATGACATGATGTGTTTAATTTTACAGTATTATTATAAACCTTTAATTAAAATCTAAAAAAATATTTATAGCTCATAATACATGAAGTCTGTTTTGTAGATAAATCTTTAAAACCTTGGAATCCACAAAGAAAATAATAAAAAAAAAGTATATGTATATGGGGGTATGTAACCCAGTGGTAGAGCATGTGCTTAGCATCCACAAGGTCTAGAGTTCAATCCCCAATGCCTCCATTAATAAATGAATGAAAGAATGAATGAATAAATAAATAAATAAATAACAAAAGTATCTGATGTCACCTTGTTTAAAAAAAGTATGTGATGGCAAACTATTGAGAACCTGTGTACTGAAGTAACATAAAAACTATTTTATTGTGGAGTATCATGGTCATCCTGGGAAGTAATATTCTGGGTTATAAGTCAGGCAACATTTATATAAACATATTTCAAATATTAGATTCTATAGATTTAATTTTCTTAAAAATAAAGGCATTGCAGATAATTTAATAATTGGATAGAGCTAGTAATGAGTGAGCAGAAATTATTCTTATTTTTTTCACCTTTGTCAACTTCCCTTCAGTCAAAGAAGATTAAAATAAATCAAACTGGGATTTAAACCCAAAATCTTCACTTATATCAAGGCTTATCTTATATTAAGAGAAGGCTTTAAGTTCTTTCCACCTAATTTTAAGCACTGATAGCATATTATAATAATTAATAAGATCATTCCATAATAGTTTATTGACTAAAATTTGTATACATTGTATATGCCAATGCACAAATAAATGTATGATTCATTATTTATTCTTACCAGACACATGCTTTGTTAGCTTCTGAATTCACTTATTCAACAAGTGTTATTTAGCACCAGCCAAAAGTATTCAGCATTTCATGAAATAATGGGGATCAAAACTGAAATAGCAATGCTACTGTTCTCAAGGAGGTCACAGAACACTGGAGGAGACTAATGCATAATTAACAGCACTGAGTAATAAATTTCATAGTAGCAGAACACTTATTTGCAGTAGGAGTACAATGGAAGCAAGGAAGCATTTGAAAGGGAGATATTGCAGTCAGGAAACATGGAGGGTGCTTTAAGAGGCGTGGAGAGAGGAAAGTGCCCAAGTTCTGTAATAGTGCACAGACTGCAAACCTGGAGTAGTTGTTTCAAACTTGTTCAGAAGGTAGAAAGTTGAGTCTTGATTTCCTTTACAAAACATCGTGTTCCTTGCAGAACACTATGAAATACTGATGCATTTTATTCAAACACTTGATTAGTGCATTTCTTATGAAGACATATAAAATATGAAACCCACACACATGGTAAATCAGTCCATTGATTTACCCATGGTAAATCTGAGTCTGGCCAATGTCTTTATTGTTTTTCCATTCAAGGTTTGCAGATACTACTATATATAAAATAAACAGTAAGTTTATACTGTATAGCACAGGGAACCACATTCAGTAATATATAGTAACCTATAATGAAAAATAATATGAAAACTAATACATGTATGACTGAACTATTACGCTGTACACCAGAAACTGACACAACATTGTAAGCTGGCAATACTTCAATAAAAAAAGGGAAAAAAATAATTATTTGCTAATAAATTTAGTCATGCTTTGGGATTTTAACTATTTTAGAC